ACCCAGTACGTTTTGGGCTCTAGTCACCACCCTCCACAGCCCCCGAGGCTGCTGCAAGGAGCCCTGTCTGCGCCACTGGACCCCGGGCCCTTTACCCAGAGACGCAGCCAGGAGGGCAGAGCCCCCTTGGCCTGCCCAGGTGCACGCCCGTCCCCCTGCTCAGCAGCCCCTGCAGCCCCCCTCCAGGAGGCCCCGCTGCTGGCCTTTCCGGGGCGGGCCGGCCCTCCACGCTCTGCCTTGAGCCAGAGCCCCCGGGTGCATGGGGAGGGAGGCCGCTTCCCGGCCCCGGAACACGGAGGTGGCGGGCGTGCTGAATGCGCAGCGAGGTGAGCGGCACCCGCTTAATTTGTTTATCTGTCTCACGATTACGCACTTGGAAATCCAGTTTTATGCTGCCTTTGTAAATCACCACGCTGCGCTTGAACATTTCCCCACTCCGGGGAGATGCTGTGATGGCGAAGGATGCGCAGAGGGGTCTGTCTTTATGCCTTCTGGCAGCGACCATGCTGGAAAGTAAATCTGACCTTAAGCTTCCCGCCGCATTAAAGATAATTCAGTTTATAGTCTCAGACGCTTCAGCCGAGGATGTGAAATCCTGGCCCAGTTGGAGCCACAGCCGACTGACTGCGGGAACACACCCTTGGCCGCACACCTGGAGTTAAGGTGCCTGTAGGCCGGCAGAGGAGGGAGGGCACCCTGTGCACACAGCCTGCATCACTGGGCGCAGACCGCTGGGTGCGGCAGCGTGGCGTTCAGGGAGTCTGTTCTCGTTTGAACAGGGAGTTCTGGGTCACAAACAAATGGCAACAGGGCAAACAGGAACCGGGAAGGCTTCCTCAGTGCCGGGGGCACAGCTGGAAAGAAAGCTCACAGCTGCCCCGACTGCGGCGAGCATGGTCCAGGGCCCGGCCCAGAGGCAGAGGGGAGCTCGGGCTCCACACCAGCGGCCCGTGTCGCCACCTCCCAAGGCCGGAGCCCTCCCACCTGGGACAGCCGGGTGCTGAGGTGCTGCCCGGACTGCCCGGACCTCCCTCCTAGGGGCCAGAGGCACACTGGCGGCTCTGAGCCGGCCAGAGCCCCACGGAGACGTGGGCGGGGTGGCCGCGGGCGGAGCATCGCTGGGCTGCCACCCGCTCGCTGCTCTCCCAGGAAACCCCACCATTTCCGCCTCCCATGCCTCTCCCTCTGTTTGCTTTTCCCAGTCGGAGAGCGAGGAGAAGGTTGTCACCTACGACCACATCGGGCCCAGTGTCTGCATGGGAGATCACAAGGTGACAGAGCCGCGCCGCGGTCTGGGGCTGGGCCCGAGGGGCGGGCCGTGGTGGGCTTTCCAGGCTGGGCCCGAGGGGCGGGCCGTGGTGGGCTTTCCAGGTTCTCCTGCCCCTCTTCTCTGCCTCCTTAGTCTGCTTCACAGAGGAGGCCAAGTTGGTCTCTTTTTATTTAACTTTAATAAAATACCAGAAGGTAGGTGGGTAGGGCTGGACAGGCAGGTAGGTGCGGCAGAAGTGGCTGGCCACAGTTTTACTATTAGTAAAAGGAGGCTGTGTCCACCACTGGCTATTTGTGGAGGCCGTTTCCTGAACGTGCACTCAAGCATATTCCTGGCTTCCGACGGCGACCACCCACCACCAGTGCGGGCGGGAGAAGGGCGTGTCACCGACCCAGTGCCTCGGGGGAAACACCGAGTATTTGTTCCGGGACTAACTTTGTACGTGTGACTGGCCCGGGCCCCTCCGAGGGGCGTGTGGTGACGGGTCGTGTGTCACCATCAGCCACGTGAGAGACGTTCACCGTTTCCCATTTTCAGGGCCTCTGGGCGGGTCGCCCACACTGCCCAGTGGGCCGGATCCCAGGACGGGCTCTGTCCTTCCCCATGTTCTTTGGGCCTGAAATCAGCTCTCATGTTATCTTTATCTGGAAACAACACCGTCTTTAGAGAACTCGAAGGCCCTTTGCCTCTAGCCTCTGGTCGCCCAGTCCCACCAGCTCCTCGGGAACTGGGGCCCGGCGCTGGGCCTGCGGGCCGCGGCCGGGTAGCCCGGGAGCGGGGTCTGGGCGCCCGGTTCTGACAGCCTCTCTTCTCCCGCTGCAGCCCGTGTTCCTGGCCTTCCGCATGGCGCCCGGGGCAGGTAAACCTCACGCACGTGTGCACAAGTGTTGTGTGGTGCAGTGAACTGGTGGTAAATATGCCTCCTCCCTCGAGTTCACCTTTCTGAGCTTTTTGTGGTGTGTCTGTCCCCTTAACAAATGGCTGATTCCACGGCAGGGAAGCGATGCCAGCGCCACGAGGGGACCCCCGGCGAGACCTCCCTGCAGCACGAGGAGCCACGTGCTCCGACAGCTGCATCGACAGACCCGCCTGAGCGCCACTGCTAGACGGCCGGCCCCACACGTCGCTTCAGCCCCGGACGGCGCTCCGGACAAGCCTCACATACCTCACTGTCGTGTCTGCTCGTGTGACATCAAGTAGAAACATTGGGATTTTTTAAATAAGTCACAGTCCTGTTGCCAAAACTCTAATAGACAGCAAAGAGATTCTGCATTTTAGACTTCACGGTTTTCGATTTTTAATTGTCAGCGTGGAGGAGCTTCTCCGGCATAGAAACCCCACAGGGCTCGGAGTCCCCTCCGTGGCGGGGCGGCTGGGGCTCTGCCGGCCGGCGGCGTGGCCCTCGCTTTCACTTCTGGAGGCCCCTCTTCCCTGTTAGTCACTCTACTGCCATGTTACATGGTTTTTGAATCACACTGCAGCTGCTTTCCATTTTTATATATATAAATATATATAAATATATACTTTTTAAAAATAATTTATAAACCTTACCAAAACTTACGCTAAATATACTTTCCAGTATGAACGCTTGAGTGTCGTATCAGCAGGTAGAATTGGCGTCTAGGGGTTTGGTTACGTGCACGTCAACACACAAAGCTATAAAACAAGTACTACGACCCAGCAGAGACGTCAGGGGTCAGACCGACCACAGCACATCCATACGAGCAGTTGGAGACTCCTAGGCCTTTTTCTGTCTAATATTAAGAACTGAATGTGAAGTTTATAGCTAGCTCGGGTGTACCTTTTAAGAATTTTGTAAACCGTTTTGTCTGTCTTTTGTTACTGTCCTATGGTGCCAAGTATTCTACATAAAACAATAATATCACGGGAGACATAAAAATAGCTAGTCTGCTTCTGATAGAAACTGCTTGTAACGTGGCCTGTGTATAAAAATATCCAGAGAAACAAACTGTACGCGTCCTTGGACGCTGAACCTCTAACGACCTGTCGTAACCCTGCTGCACGTACTTGCTCCTGGCACCCGGCGGAGCCGTGAGAGGTGGTCCCAGGGCCCACGGATGAAACACAAACGAACGTTTTATTAACTTGCTTTAACACTACAGAATTCCTGGGCTGGGTGAAGGCGCTGGGTAGAAGCTTGTTTTAGATAAATCACAACCGTTGCAAGTGAGCTGGCGTCCACGTGCCGAATCCGTGTCCTTGACAGTACCGTCGGGGTCTGTGTCAAGCTGTGGTCGCTCTGCTCTGGCCGACTCACGGCGATTCTGTGCAGCGGGGTTTCAGCTGTTGGTCACTCAGGAGGCCTTTGGAAATGACCGCTCCGGTCCCTAAGCAATAAAATCGATCGTGGTGAAAATATCCCGTCTGCTTTGCGTTTCCTCCTCCCGTGCTCCGGCCCGTTGTAGCCTGCGGTGCAGGCTACGCTCGTCGCTCGTCGGCGATCCTGGACTCCACTGTCGGATACTGTTACAGAGCTGAGCTCTGGCGTGAGAGCAGAAAGATCATCTTTTGGATTTTACTGCAGAGGTTACTGCTGGGATTTACCCCTCAGCATTGTTTAAATGAGATTACATAAATGTGTTGCTTTCCTCAAAACTTTAAAACTGGAAATTCCTTTGCTCTTAACTTGAGCTGAAAGAAGAGTTCACTCACATAAATTTTGAAAAAGAATTAATGCTCCCTTAGAAAACCAGCCAGTGAAAAACGTCTGTATTTTAAATTGATGCAGCCATGTAGCAAAAAACACCCAAAAAACAAAACTTCAGCCTTTTACATTTCTCTTTAACATTTTCAGTAATGCCTTCCAAGAAGGATCTTTCTTGCAGTAAGACAACCCTTTATATTCAGTTATGCAGCCACGTGGAGCGTCCGGAGTCTGCACGGGTGGGGTGGTCTTCTGTGAACCAGAGCAGACGCAGGCTGCTGTTAGCTGGAATCCTGGCCCTTGGATTCCGGGGTGAGGGACAGGCCAGAGAGAGGGCTTCCCGGACCTCCGCGGGGCTGGGGGGCCGGGTCGGTCTGGCCGATCCAGGGAGGTGCCCCGGGTGGAGGCCGGAGCTGCCCAGGAGGAGGACAAGGTCCAAGCACTGGCCAGATGTGCTTCCCCTGCATCCCAGGGTCAAACGGGCAAAGAAAACTCCAGGGCCCCCGAGAGAACCGACGCCAGGGCAGCAAAATTATCTTGGATTTCTCTTTGTAGTCCCGGTTTGAATTAAACCCCGCTTTCTACCGATGAAAACAATCTATTAAACCGCAGGAGAAGTGCTACGGTGCTGATGAATTTAAAACCTGATTTACTTCAAATTATGTAGCTACTAAGGCTGGGCACGTTCCAACCTACATAATCATGGCAAAGCACGTCAGCAGGACAGCAGGAGCTAGGGCCCAGCGGCGCCCCTCACTGCCCCCACACCCACCAAAGGGGAAAGGCACCACTCCGGGTGGGGCAGGAGCGGGGGTTCACCTGGCCCTTTCCGGCAACCCCAAATGTGTTTAAATCTGCCCACACCTCATCCACCTAAGCCAACAAAACAGCGGGCCTCCAGAGCCCTGGGGAGGGCGCCCCGGGCTGGGGGCCGGTGGAGTTGCGGGGAGGGACGGGACAAGGGGTCCTACCTGCTGCCCCGCGCGAGCCACAGCTGCCTGCGCCGGAGGAGCCGCCGCCGCCGCCGCCGCCGAGCGCCCAGCGCCCCGCTCCATCCCCCCGCCGTCGGCTCCGCTCCCGCTCGCTGAGTCCTGGCTCTTCCCGGCCCTCGGCCCCGGGCGGCCCCTTCCCTTGGCCGGCAGCCCGAGGGTTCTCGGGCGGGGCCGCCTTCCCCGCGCCGGGCCTCGCGGTGCCCTCGGTCCTGCGAGCTGCTGCCACCGGGGCAACCCGGGGCGCGAGGCGACCGGGACTCCATCGCACCCCGATTCTGAGCCGGACCTGCGCCAGACCCAGGCGCCCCTTCGGCCGAAGGCGCGGACCCCGCGGCATTGAAGACTGGACAAGGGGACCCGGGACACAGGGCCCGGCAGAGGCAGAAGGCCGCGCCACCGCGCCTCGCCCGTGGTTTTCGATAAGGAAGAAACACGCGGTGCAGCCTCGGGAGCCACGGCTCCGACGGGGGACGTGTTAAATAATTTATTGATTATACAAAGTGATTCCTCTCAGGACGCGCGGCAGCGGCGGTCCCGATCCCGCGCCCACGCCGAGGACAGGGACGCGGGCGCTCTGGGGTCCCCGCACGCCGAGCCCGAGCCAGGCCGCTTTATAACTTATTCTGTAAAAATATATATACACACTCCGGCGCGGGCGGCTGGCGAGAGGCGCCGGCCCGCGTCCCGTACCCTGGTTGTCCGGCCTTGCCGCCGCGTCCTCACGAGGCGTCCCCCGCGCCGCCACCGCACGGGCTGACCAGCGCCAAGTTCGAGGGTTTGTGCTTCTTGAGCAGCCGCGTGATCTTCTCATCGTCCGAGTTGGGGTCCAGGGGCCGGTTGTACTCGTCGTCGTCCTCCGCGTCCGAGACGCCCACCTTCAGCTTCTCGGCGTCCGAGTCCTGCTTCTTCTTAGCCGACGCCATCTCCGCGGCGTGCCGCTTGCGCCACTTTGTCCGCCGGTTCTGGAACCACACCTGGGGTGGAGGATGCCCATCAGGCGGCGCCTTCCAAAGCACCCGGCCCGCGGCAGCTTGGCCCCTCGGCGGCCCAGTCGGAGACGCCGCCGGCCGCAGAGGGACGCCCGAGGCCACCCCTCTAACCGGGCCGGGCCGCAGGGCTGGGCGCCCCCGGGACCGAGGCCAAGGCCGACGGCCGCTCGCAGACCGTTCGCAGGACGCGGGGGAGCGGGTGGGCCTCGGCGCAGCGGGACCCGCGGGGGGCCGCCCAGGCCGCAGACGCCTCACCTTGACTTGGCTCTCGGTCATACCCAGGGAGTAGGCGAGGCGCGCGCGCTCCGGCCCCGCCAGGTACTTGGTCTGCTCGAAAGTCTTCTCCAGCGCGAAGATCTGCTGGCCCGAGAAGGTCGGCCGCGAGTGCTTCTTCTTACCGTCCTTGTCCAGGACCCCGCTGGCCTGGGCTGCAAAGGAGGGCGGGTGAGCGCGGCCGGCGGCCCCGCGCCCGCGCGCGCCCCGCCGCCCCACGCCGAATCCGCGGGTGGGCCACTTACCCGGGCCGGCCAGGCGCGGGTCCCTCCAGGGCGAGCCCTGCACCACGCCAGGCCAGAAGATTGGCGGGCGCCCGGGCAACTCGGCCAGAGGCTTGGGGTAGCCGCGCGCCACGGCGGCCGCGGGCCCGAAGTAGACGCCGGCCGACGAGGCGAGCCCACTGAGACGGGGCAGGCCGCCCAGGAGGCCGCCGCCCGCCGCGCCCACGGGCCGCCCCAGGATGTCGCTGATGCCGTGCGGGGTGCCGAGCGGCAGCTGCGCGCCGAGGCCGCCCAGCGCGGGCGCCTTGAAGCCGGCCGGGCCCTGCAGCGCGTACGGGAACAGCGACGTCTTCATCTCGGCCATGTTGTGTAGCGCGGCCAGCGGCGCACTGCTCAGCACGAACGCGCCCGGGCGGTTAGCGTCCATGGGCGCCGCCGCCGCCGGCCCGGGCGCCCATCCGGGCCCCGCCGCCGCCGCCCGCGCCCGCCGGCCCGGGAAGTTTGCGCGCGACCCCGGCGGGCGCCGGCTGCAGCGGGGGCTCGGGGTGCGGGCGCCGACGGCGCGGATGGCGGGCGCGAGGGAGGGCGGCGGCTCCGGCGCGGGGTGGGCGGCGGCGGGGGTACTCCGCGCTGCGGCGGTGGCGGCTCCGGGGCCGGTCGGAGCGGCGCCGCGCCGCGCGGGCTGGACGCGCTGATAACCGCGGGGCCCCCAGGCGGCGCGCGTGCTGATTGGCTGCCGGCGACCGCGGCCCGGCCATTGGCCAGCGCCCCCGCCGTCTGCGCGCGCCCCCGCTGGCCGCGCACTCCATGAAGGGCCCATTAGCCCGGCAGGTGCCTCCCGGGCTGTAAATTTGCCCCCTGATTTATCTCCCCGGGGACGAAATAAATCCCGTTGGATGGGAGTTTAGTTAGGCAAAGGTTTTAGTGGGAAATCAGGAAAAAATACGAGAACATATTTTATCACCGAAAGAATGCAGATTTGAGGATCCACTTGGCACACTCCGTGCGCCCCATTCGATGAAGAGGCACAGGCGGGAGGGCGCGGGCACCTTCGGGGTCACAGTCCGCGCCCCGCCTTGCGGCTTCCCGGCCGCCCCGGTCTCAGGTTTGAGGGAGGAACGAAAACATTTCCGGGAACATTCTCCTCTGGGATGCAGAAGGGCGGAAGAAGCGGGACGTCAGAGTCCACGGGCCGAATGCTAGACTTGGCCCGCGAGAATCTGCTCTGGTTTCGCCAACCAATGGCTGGCGCCGTGGCGAGGCCTGTCCCGGGGCCACACGCGAGGCTACCGAGTTGCGCGCGCTGCCGGAGGGGCGGTTCCCGGTCCCCTCCCTGGCCGCGGGACTGTACAGTGTCGGGTCAGGGCGCGGGGACCGCCCGGGCCTCCCGGTCAGTCGTTTCCCGGCCGCGAAGTCGCAGCTTGTTCCCGGGGGGGCAACCTGAGTCCGGAGCTTGGACCTGGGCGCCCCGACCTAGGGCACAGCCGTTCCCTTGTGAAGCGCGGCCCGAGCCGGCGGTCGGGGACCCTGGCAGGCTCAGAGTCCGGGTCCCAAGGCGTGCGGGGCCACGCTCAGGGCCTTAACGTGGGTGTGCGCCCGAAGTGCAGCCAGCGGGCAGAAGCGTGGCCTTTTGACGGGCACGCAGGGCCCATGGTGTCCTCCGGGTGGAAAAGCCTCCCACCCCGTGGAATTGCTGTGCGGGTTCAAATAAGATCGCAGGGGACAGCGGGCGCCGGCGGAGAGCCAGTGCTGAGTACGGTTCTGGACGTCGCCTCCTTGCTTCTCTTGGCTGGTGTCACAGCAATTACTACGTGGCGGCTATTATTATTATTGGCTGCCTGCAGGGAACGCGACGGGAACGTGTGCGAACCGACGGCTGCAGTTTCGTGGCTGGGCGGCGGTGTGCGCCCGGCCGGCCTCTCTCGGGCCTGGTGTGGTCGGTTAGCAACGACGTTCCCGTTTCACCCCGGCCGCCAAGGTTTCTGTGGCGCGGACGAAGGCGACCCTCTCGGCTCTGTGCGGGGACCCAGCGCCCGCTGGCACTGAGACCTTTGGGGGGATCCATTTTCGTTTTGTGCAGTTAGCTTTCGGGTCTTGGCGCTGCGAGTCCTTACGCCAGATCGCCGCTCAGAAAGCCATTGGCCGCCGGGGCTGGGCGGACGTTCGGTGGCCGCCCCTGCCCACGTGTGCGCGCACCGTGCTGTCCCGGGAGGCGCGCCGTGGCGCGTGGTGGCCCCGGCTTCAGGAGCGGTGCAGTCCGCGCGCATGGGAATTTCTCTCTTCCCGCCTCCTCGGTCGGGGCCGCACTCGCGGGATCCGGGTGTGGCTGCCCCGCAGGCGATCGGCACCTGCGGAGCCAGGCCCGGGATACCTAACGAGCGCTCACCTCTCGCATTCCCGCGCTACCTACGGGCGGCCAGGCCCCGAGACCCGCCCCGGGCCTCACTTGAGCCCCACTGCCTCGGGCGCAGCGTAGGTGCTCCCCGAGAGCCCAGCCGCAGGGAGGATCCTTCCCAGCAGGGTTTGGGGCCCTCTGGGCTCCTCGGAGGCGGCTAACGGGGGGGCCAAGGTTCGGGCTCTGAGGGCGTGGCAGTTACTGGCTTGGGGGCGGGGCCAGAGGAGGCGGGGCGGGGCCAAGTGGGAGGGGCGGGGCCGGGTCCCTACTCCCGGCACCGAGGAGCCGACTCTGGGCAGCTGTGGCCCGACAGTTCTCTGGGGCGGGCCGGGAGCGGCGCGCCCGGACGGGACGACAGGGCGCACTATCCTCCCTGCGACTCTGGCTCGGTGGCTGGAGGAACACCGCAGCTCTGGGTGCCGCGCTGTGGCTCCTCGAGCACCCGGGCTGGGGCCTCCGCAGCCCTTTTGACCGCTGAGGAAACAGACACCCCGAGTCGCTGCCCTGAGTCCCGGGTCTGTCTACGCAGCCGGGCCCTCCCTGGACTGCGGCCGGAATGCTTGGGGTCGCGAGTGGGGCTGCTTCTCCCCTGGCCGCAGAGTGCTCGGCTCTCCAAGGAGCCAGTGGCCCTGGGTGCCGGATGGGGGGCCGGAGTGCGGTTTGGAAGGCCCAGAGAGCATTGGGGGCGCCCGGGGTGCGGGGTGAGGGCGGCCTCTTCTCCATGCTCTCTGGCGGTGGGTGTCTCGGTGCCCTCCCCATGCGTCCTGTCCTGCCCGGCGCGCGGGGGTTCCCAAGCCCCGGACGCAGCCCCGCAACCCCCCAGGACGCCACGGCACGGGACACCCTCCCCCAGTGCCCCAGTCCCGGGTGTGTAGGCTTGATAACTTGCTCAACTTGCCTGCCCGCCGTCTCTGCGCGCTCCGAGGCTGCGCCCCTCCACCTTCTACGCGGCTCCCACGCCACGCCCTCCTCCTGCGCTCCAGGGAGCCGCCCCCTGGGTAGGATCAAGGGAAACGCCCCTCCTCCGGGGAAAGTGCCGTGGCCGCCTGCGGGGAAGGAGCGCCTCTCGGCCTCCGCCGCTCGTGCTGATTGCCGCCGGGGTGGAGAGGTTCGCGAATGCCACCTCCTGGTGCTGAAGGAAAAGTCCTGCCTGGGAAGGCGGCGGGCACTTCGGCGCTCACACTTAGACGCTGTGGGAACACGCAGAGCGCGCGTTTGACAGAGACCTTTACTTAGTCAACGCTTATTTATTGGGCACCTACTAGGTGCCAGGCGTGCTCTGGGAGAGCCACGTGAAGGCAACGAACTCCACCTCTGCACCCCGCCCTGCCCCCAGGGGAGGACTGGGTAATAAACAATGAACCAAAAAACTTCCGGAAGTCCCTGCAGGAGGGGAACAGGACCGATGATCGCTGGGAAGGGGGAGGTCAGGGAAGGTGGTCCTCCTGGAGGGCCAGCCAGGGCCAACAGGTGTCCAAGCCCAGGGTGGGTCAGAGCCCGGCCGGCAAGCGGGGGGAGGGAGGGGGGGCGGAGAGGGAGGTGGGTAAGGGCGCTTGCACCTAGAAGGAGCTTGGATTCTATCTCCAACCACACAGGTACCCCTGGAGTTGGCAAAAAACCTTGTCAAAGGAAAGATTTGTCATTTTGCGGGGCTGGTAAGTCTTGGAGCTACCTGCCTGGTGGCTGCTCGGTGGCTTCCTGCAAAGGGCAAAGGGCCCTGGCTTTGTCCTCCCATGTGTGAGCAGTTCTCAGCCTCTGGGAGCTTGAGGAGGTGACCACACCTGGGGGCGGATTCAGGGGGCTGCTGACCCAGGGTTGGTAGGTCAAGAGAACCAAGTGCCGCCCGCAGCTCTGGGATGAAGGGGCAGAGGCGCGGTCACCTGGGCCCTGGAGCTGCAGGAGCTCCCAGGTTCTGGAGATGCTGAAGGAGCCCTGCTGGCGCAAATCCCACCCGCCCCCAGCAAACGCCCGGACCACAGGAAAAGACCAGACCCCTGCCCATCCCGCTGGGCGCCCTCCACTGGCTGGCCCCCGGAAAGGCGGCTAGCGGACACCCGTCACTGCGCAGGGGCGCCAGTGGAGGCTGCCCTGCTCACTCCCCGTGCCACCAGGGCAGTGACTCTCGCTGTCTGAAGGCAGCGAGAGCACTGAGTGCTGAGGGTGTGCGGGGCCTGGGGTGAGGGGCACAGGTGGCTGGTAGGGGAGACCCAGCTGGTCACCGGGCCCCGCCTCACCCCTCTCCCACCTGCATTAGGGCCGAGTGCCGCGCACCACGCTCCAACTCGGTCTAATCCCCACGTAGTGACCCGTGTGCCTCAGACTGAGGCCCCCTGTGGCCTCGCATCCCTCTGACCCCCACACTGGTCCGTTTGCTGCCGCCCTGCCTTCCGCCGGCCCCCGGACCACTGTCCCCCCCGTCTTCCTGTGGCTCACTTCCTGCTCCCTCGGCTCTGGGCTGGACCCTCACCCCCAGCCTCCGCCAGGCTGGCCTGCCCGTCTGCACGGCAGCACCTTCCAGAGAGTGAGCACCTGGGTGCAGGGTCCCCGTGCTCTGGCCACCTGGAGGGCTGAGTAAGAGCTGCCGAGCCAAGGAACGAACACGCACCCAGGCCCAGGCTTCTGAGGCTTTCCCGGAGCCCGTGCTCCGCCAGGGAGATGGCGCCGCTAAGAGGCTCCAGACACCCTGAGCCAAAGGGCACCATGGGCACGTGGGCCCCAGAGGGACGCCCGTGGGAAGATGACGGCGAGACCCTGGGAGGCGGGGACTGTTGGTGGGTGGGAGGGGCCTGGGAGCCGGCCGGTCGAGGGGCCCCAGCTGACCCCCCTCCCCGATCTCTGGGGGCCTCCTATCCCTCCCCCATCCTCTGTGATGCTCTGGCTTCACTGGACTTGAAGCTCCTCCCCCAGCCTGGGCCGGGTGGGCGTCTCCCACCTTGCAGAGCCCCTCCCCACACCCCCAGCTCCTTCACTTCTTTAAAGGTTATGTATTTTGATAAATGTAATAGCCCTAGAGGAGTGTACAGAGCTATACTACGCGTTCTTGTCACAAACCCGAGTCTCTTTTACCATTTAGCTGTGCTGGCCTCACCTTTCTCCTCCTGAAGGAAGAGCCCGTCCGCCAGGTTGAGATCTGACAC